CTGAATTCAGCTGTGCCAATTGGTCATACTCTAATGCAAAGAACTGCCTGCAAATGGTGCAGAAATCTAAGGAAGGAGTTTAAAACTTGAACCTTGGTTCCAAGTCTTCTCTAGTATTAACTTTCAGCAAGCTTATGCCTGACCTATTGCCTTTGCTTCATGAATACCCTACATTTCTGTGCCCTTAGGCTGCTGTACTATCACTTCAGGATCTCCTCCCCAAGACGTTGTTTTTCACATTTTTAACCTCATACATCATTTCTATCACCTCAGGAGCAGGAAAATCTCCAAAGCAGTGTTAAAATCTCAGTTACCATGTTTTAAATTAATATTTACACTGCTAATAAAAAATTCATATTTACCATGGCAACCTGCATCATACATATGCTCCTGATGAGAGGGAGAGAAGCCATTAAAAATAAATAAAAATAAGCAGGCACAGAAATGAAACATACACATTTCTGGACACATATTTCCAATGGAGGGGAAAAATAATCAGCTCTATCAAAAACACAGATTTCCACATCAATACAAGGAACATGAAATGTTCAGAGTGAAATACGAATCGCTAGTTTAGAGGGAACTTACTCAGTTTGGGTCTGAAAAGCCTAATGGGGAGAAAATGAATAATCTCAAAACAGAAACTGAATGTCAAATCTTGTTTGGTCCAACTTGTGTTTAATCCTTATATTCCTTTCTGTGTAAACCTTACATTCCTTTATTCTTTTCTGACACATTTATTTCATTAAAAAAGCAGCTTTGGAAAAGCTCCCATCAGCCTATTTTCTTCTGCATCACTTGTTGGGGGTATTTTATAACCAGAAAATATTCTGATAAAACAGCAGAAACTTCTTAATTAAAAAAAAAAAAAAAAAAAAAAAAAAACAAAAACAAACCAGAGCCCCTTCCCTTGATTTCTGGATTCTCTAGAAAATAATAAGCCTGAACATGTCCTGAGTACTAACCCCGATCTGTTTCTAAAGATGGCTTCTGCCTAATCAGGAATATGGTGAAGCATTTCAGATGAAGTATGTTACATGTAACAGCATCATTCCTCAGAAATGACAAGAGCTTATCTCATCTACCTGAAAGAGTCAAGGTGCTGTGCTCTTCTATCTGTGCTGGCTATAATCACACAAGCAGTTGCAGAGGTAAACACAATCTAGATGTATGCATGTATTCAGCTGAAGGGAAGAAACTCTGCTGGAGCGTAGTCTCTCCTGAAACAACAATACAATCAGAGCAGGTCATTCTCATGCACAGCAGAAGTAACTCTGCTGATTTCACAAAAATTACAGCAAGGATACATTTAGCTGTGCACAATAAAAGCGAGAACTTCACTGCAGCTGAACAATTGTCTGTACCTCATCTTCTCTGCATAGACAGAAAACATCAGAAGGCGAACACTCAGTATTGCTTATAATTCTTTTTATTGTTATTCTTGATGCCAGTTGCTGTCAAAAAATGGAAATATTTTCATAGAGGTAAAACCCAATCAGTCCTATACTGGCTGCTCTTTTTTAACTAGGGGGGAAAGATAAAACCACCATGAATTACTATTTTTAATATAGGGTTTTTTATGCAATGATTTTTTTCCCAGACATTAATAAATGAGGGTAAAAGTCTTTCCCTCCTTGCAAAGCTACATTCGGTTTAATTTGTTTTTATTGATTTCCAGAGGCATTTACACAACACAAGGTACAGCATAAGAAGAATATGTTATTTAAATATTTTCACAGACATGTTCTTTTCACTTCAGAAAAATAACAGAAGACGGTTCCAACCTGCTCTATGATGCCTGCCAATCCTGTGTGGCAAAAGCAGCAACATCTCTTTTTAAATATAATGGGCTTTATTTTCAGTATGGTCCAAGCCCCAGGTAAGTATTTAGGGTTGAATCACATAAATTAACATTATCTTTTTGCAACAAATAAGAACAAATGCACCAACTTTGTCATGATTGGAAAGAGATTTTTGTAATGCCATTACTAACACTACATGCTTTCTGAACAAGGAAATACATGTGTTCAGTTCAGCCTGTGATATGCTCATCAGACAGACATGGCAGTGTCCTGACACTATGTTAACCTGACCATTACACGTTTCTCTCTGTACCATATATACACTTCATCTCTGGCACCAATGTTTATTAGAGAGCCCAAGAAACATCAAGGATAAGCCACAAGCACTTGGCTCATCATAAATCTTCTTGAAGAAAGAAAATCAGGTAGCAAACTCAACCTTTGAAGGAAGTCCTTCCTGAGGTTAAATGACTTTCACTCATGCCAAACATCTGATCTTCCTTCCTATTCACTTAGAAAGAGCTAGTTACCCAAAGCTACAGAAGGAGGCTCTTAAAGGGCCTTCTTATGCTAATGGCTTGGTTTAAAACCCTGTCTCCTGAGGTCTTAGAGTTAAAAGCACAAATATGCTGGTAAATAGTTAGGAATTCAACATGAGACATAGGAATGCACTCAGTTAACTCAAGGTTATGGTGACCCTCACGTTTCTAGCCTGCTCACAAAACAGAGCACAAAATCCACAATTCAAAAGACAGGGTATCTCCTGACATAGCTGGGTAAGCCACTTTCAAGAGTCATAGTCATAAGAAATACTGAGTGAAGCAGATGAGAGCAGAGACACAGGAAACAGATTGAAGACCAGAAAGCCAGACAAAGGCCTCAGGATTATTTGGGCAGGCAGTCTGGAAAGGGCATAAATAATTTTGCTAAGAGCCAAACAGACACACAAACACAGGCAAACCACCCTCAGTGATGCAGAGCTGCATACTGACTGCAAGATAGAGAGCAACTTGCTGGGCCGTAAATGTCTTAGATGGCTCTTCTGAGGTGCACAGAGGAGGTTGCACACCAGCTGCAGTGGTATAGCTGATATATTAAGTGTAGAACTATGGCTTACATGATTTGGTAGACATATTTGCTAGACCTGATGTTTGAAGAGTGATAAAAGTGCCTGAAAATAGCTATATAAAAAAACGTTAAATAAGACATCAGTATGGGGCTGGCAGAAACAAAACAACACTTACTAAGGCTTGTGCACTTCTGGCACAGCTGCTGGAGGGCAGGATATGTAGGGTGTCCACCATGGGACTGCACATGTTTAGCACTGGAATTACATGCTTTATAACTTACGTGGAGGAAAAAAAAGATAAGTCTGCTGCCAGCCCAAAATACAGGTACAAAAATTACACAGTGACATCACTGGCCCGACAAAATGAAGCCTGATGCTCAACTTCTCCCTTACCACTTAGTAGGCCAAAACACTGCTTGTTTTTAATGAAGAATTACTGTTTCCAGCCTAATACTGCCTCCATCTCACATTAACATATTATCAGCTACTCTGCTATAAGTGACCATCCATTCCAGAAATACATGTAGCTAATTTCACATAAAACCAGGAGTTCATGTAGGAGCACTTACAGGGCAAAGGGAGGAATGCTAGAAATGACATTCCAGAAAGTCCCTAGAGTGAGGTTTCACCACAGGGCACAGACTTTTCTAGAAGAAAGCAGAGACAGTTTTAGAGAAACAAGTTGCTCTAAACTAGAGGTTTATATTTATCTAGGTTACAGATTTATCTAAACTGGAATCTCACCTAAATATACAATGGAAATATATCACAAAATGATGAATATACAATCCCTGTAAGATGAAGACTACTACAAATTTTCTGGAACTGCAAGGGAAGAACATGTCTGAAGAGCAAAATATTTATGTGTATAAATAGAGACCAGATGCACATTTTCAGCCATTCCATTAGAAAATTTTCCTTATAGCTTTCATAACATTTATTAGGAGTTTAAGATACTGGTATTTCTCTATGTCAACTGGATAAATGTCATTGACACAAACCAAAGAAAATAAGAAGATACAAATGCAGCCACGTTGTATTTATAGTGAGCATAGTGTTCATCCCTCTGTCGGGTCAGTGGGATATCTATAGAATCACAGAACTATAGAATGGTTTGGGTTGGAAAGGACCTTAAGATCATCTAGTTCCAACGCCCCTGCCGTTGGATCCCCGAGAGCAGGGATACCTCACACTAGACCATGTTGCTCAAGGCTCTGTCCAGCCTGGCCTTGAACACTGCCAGGGATGGAGCATTAACCACTTCTCTAGGCAACTTGTTCCAGTGCCTCACCACATCTATTATTTTATATACTTGTTCTGGCTAGGATGGAGTTAATTTTCCCACCTGTGGGGGGGGTCTGAAAGTGGAGAAGGTCAAACCCATCACACTGTGCCAACAGCAGAAGATAGATGTATCTTGTCTCTCCCATTCAGTGACTGCCTGAAAAGCTGAGACTGCCTTAAGTCACCACCTAACTTTATCAGCATTTCGCACACACTCAGTGATCTGCAGAGCCATTACAAAGGCAGGGAATATCTGAAAAGTAGAAAGCTGGGTAAATTTGCTTGCTGCCTCAAAATTGCCCCCAACTGGGAATTTATTTCTTGCAAGCCATGAGCTGCAACAAGGAAATTGCCATTAATGCATAAATATTTCCTGTGCTTTGCTCTTGCTTGACCTTGTTTGTAGCTGTGCTTGCCAACTGCAGACATGAACTACATAGTTTAGCTCGAGTTTACGGCAAAGCTGGCTCTGAAACAGTTATTTGCAATGTGGAGAGATCTGTAAGAACAGATCCTCTGAGTCTGTCACGCTGCCTTCTGGCAGAAGAGCACAGAATTTACAGCTCTTAGAGTTATCTCTAAAGCCTCAACTTCTTGTTTGTACATCTTTTATTCACTTGGTGTTGTACCAAGGTGTTACCGGTTATTGAAAAACAACCACCAGCAGTCCAAAACAGCTCCTTCAGTCCCAAACAACAGAAAAGTTGTCACATCAATGTGTAGACAGTCACTAATTGTCTCAGAGCAGTATAGAGCTGTATGAGATACAGGCAGCCTCAGGTCTAGTTGCTTTCCAGCAGCACAGCCAGCTCGGAGCTATTTAGCATGACAATGTACCGTGACAGGCAGGTACACAGAGCACATACAGAATTCTTTGGTACTTCCAGATTACTGTCAGCATTCAGCTGCTACAAAGTTAGCTTGCTGGATCTGTCCTACAGAGCAAGCATCACTGTGATGACAGTACACATACACTACTTGGTTTATGCGCTTAAGGTAGAATTAGGAAGATCAACACATTAGCGGTTTGTGACTGCAAAATAATTTTATATTTTTCATATGTATTTATCCTGTTTTACTTAACTCCAAAATAAATATATTCCCCGTTTCCCTCAGCTTCCTCAAACTTGCACATCCCATTCCAATGAGGGAGCGGATTTTTATAGCTATAACATGACAGTCGTTTTATTCATTAAGACTTTGCCAGCTAAGGCACTTGGGGACTCATAGAAAAGTAATAAACACATGTTTTAAAAGACACAACAGAAAAATAATTTTAAAAATAGACTTAAAATACAAATTAATCAGCAGGAAAAGGTGTTCTAATAAACAACCAACAGCACTGGTCATAAAAAAGCTGTAAGCTCTTTGAAATGGAAGAGTCTGCTTTGTTCAGTAATAAAGATGAATTAAAAGAGCAGCCACAGTGTGGCTGGGATTCTCCACCTTAATGCTTTACCACAGCACAAGCATAATTATTAATCAACACTAATATCATAAAGCAGAGTAGGGGGTACCACTCACACCATCTCTAGATATGAACACAGTGCTGTTGAAGCCATATTTGATATCACAAAGGTGAAGGTGTTCTTGGTCACAAATCATGATGAGAATTTGAGAGAGGATAGCATCACAAAACCTGAGAAAGAGTGAGTAAGCGGAGATGGAAGCAGTGTGCTAAAGAGGCACTTCCACTCTCAGCAGAGCAGATGTGATGATGGAATGTGCAAAGCAGAAGATGAAAGAGGAAGAAGGAGAAAGAAGAGCATTAGCCTGGGCAAAATCCAAGGATCACCAACGGGTTGGGAAGACAATGAAAAGCAGCTTGTCCAGTCAGATCAGAGAACAGTGCAGAGCCTAGCAGCTGGTGATGGAGTCAGGGGGAATGACTATATGGTTTCAGCCATAGCAGTAGAATTCCTATTTAACATGTATCACAGAAGTGCAGAATCCAATAATTTTCAACCAGTTCCTGATTGATTAATAACACATTAACCTGATCTAATGCGTAAATCTGAGGTGACCTTTAAAACAGCAGTGAAAGGACTTTGGGTGACAGCTCTTACAAAACTTGAAGCAGCCATGCTCTTGCTTTCAGAGCAAGGTGCAAGTACAGTGGATGTAAAATAAGGGCTTTCATTCAGCTCTGTCTGTACTTACCTGGCACATGTTTTACATTCAAATAAACTCCCAAAACTGGAGTTAAACCATAGATATCAATAGCAGAACACAATTGATTTTGAAGAAAATCTGACAAACACACACACACACACCCTTAATTTCACCAGATCCTATAACAGGGTTGACTTTGTACCTTCACAGATGCTTGTGGAAGGGAGCAAAGTGTGAAGCACTCATTTTAGGGACAGGTTCAGAGACCTCCACACAAAGCACCAGAAACGTGACTAGGTACATTTCATTTCTGTCGCAATCAGATTTTCAGAAGCTTTTCTGCCTTCCCACTCCAGCTACTCTTCGCTGAACTCTTTGTCACCATCTAGCCAGACTCACCTAGCCAGGTTAGGATTGAATGGAGCAGAGCACTGGTCCCACAGGAGCGTTCACCCACTCGTTAATTACACACAGCAACATAATGACAAGTTCTTGCTGCTTTCTACAGTGGAATAAAAGCATCAGATAACCTTTTTAAATCTTGCTTTATGCTACCTCCATTCATAGCTTTTCAATACCCTTGTACAACGTCAGCAGAACAAGCAGTCCTGCTTTGTCAGCCAGCTGGGTGCCCACAGAACAGCCTACCTATGAGACTGAACTGTGAATCAGAGCACTAAACCATAATCCCTAGAAAGAGCTCTGTGCGCTGCCCAACCAACCACACAGTTCAACATCCTGTCAGTCATCAGATAAAGTATGCAAAAAGCAAGGAAGAAACATTTGCACAAGTCACACTTGAGCAGTAAATAGCCAGGCCTCAGGCTCTCACAGCACTACTAGCAGCCTGTTTGCCCAGCACCTGGCTTGGCAGTCCTTCAGCAAACAACGTTCTCTTTGACTAATACAAATCACTTGTACAGCAGAAACAGGCCCACAGCAAGTAATTCATCAAATCTTAAAGAAAAATTAAGAAAGAAAAACGTAGGTCTGAATGTCAAAATACCATTCCAGTAATAGCACTTCCATTGTTAACCTGTGTACAGGAACAGATACCAAGAACTGCTGTCTGCTTGGCAAATGTGAATGTGACAGAAGAGAGCTGACCTACTCTTTTATCAACTTGTTCTGGTAAGTTGAAAGGCAACAATTTCTTTTTATGAAAAATATGAAGAAAATCCATGACACCACACTAAGAGAATCACAATTGATTTGAAAACTCTTCTCTCGAAGCTCAATGGATTTGTCTCAAGGTGGAAAGCCACATCAGCATGATAGAAGATTGTTTCTCTGCATTTGAACAGCTTTGTTCTGAGTGGTAGCTAGGTTAAAGTAAGATAGACAACATTTGATTGACAGGTTTTCCATTTTTATATCTCCAGGAATGCTACAAGACATGCATGAGTGCCCCTGATAACATACGGGCTGAGAGAACAAACCATAATAAGACAGCCAGATTTGTAAATCCTTGGTACACCAGATGACTTATGCAGGAATATTACAATAAATTGCCTCTGAAATCGTGGCATGCTGCTCTGGGGAAGGATCTCTTCAGTGTCCCCCCAGGAACAGAACTTTTGTTGTTCTAAATTGCTGTAATTAGCTCTCTTCAGAGCCCTGTGGCTATAACTATTCCATTTCCAACACAGCAATGCTCTCCAGACAACAAGATGGTTACAAAATGTACCTTTCAAACCAGTTAGCAAAAAGCTGTGGGAACTCCAAGAGTACTCTTTATAATCAGAGCAGGATGTATGATTCAGTATTTTCAGCCTTAGGAGAAGCTAGGCAGAAAGGAGGTATTACACATTCCCTCTCGGGAGAGAGATCTTACAATGTTTGCAATAAAAACTGTAATTCTGAACATATAGATTAACCATCTTAGTGCTGCTCTAATGAAAAGTCAGGTTATCTCCCCGTGCAAGCCCCTAACCTGCATTTCAGGATTTAAAGTTTCTGCATTCAAGTAATGATTTCATCTTTATTGTCCTATGTCACAAATGGACCCAGAGTGGAGCTGATCCTCTGTCTTAACAACCCTTACGGAGGAAGATTTGTTATCGCTTTATACACCAGGATCAGTCCCTTAATTTTACACTAGACATCTTCCCACAACGGGCTATGGCTCAGTGGTCCCATCTGCAACCTTTTCTAAAGGGCACAGGCATGAATAACAGGTTTGTCTTCTTCACTGCCATATCGTTCAGTAACAGTCTTACAACTAAATTAACATTTTCTTTAATTTGATGTTTCCTGATATTTCATTTGATATTTAATGTTTTCTGATATTTAATTTCATGTTATTTCCTGGTAACTTCCCTGAAAGGTCACTGCTGGAATATATACAAAGGCATTTTTTGGTCATTTTTTGTCCACTTGCTCCTACCACAGCTCAATATTGGTTCTGATCAGGGTGACCTATATCTGTTCAGCAAAGATATAATGCCCTTTCACTTGCACCCTCAAAACATTAATAACACAGTTCATATTCGAATCACAAAAGTAATGGTATTCTGTTTGCTGCTTGAATATCAATAGGCTATATCTTAGCATTAGGAGACAGAACTAGGTTGGGTTTTTTTTTTTTAGAGAACAGAAATGCCTTAATTTTTCATTGAACTTTTCAAGCACAAATCTTGCATTTATGGCATTTTTCATCTCAAAGGATTACAAGTCTCTTAACTACAAGTGCAATATTAATAATAAAAAGAAGACATAATTCAGCTGACATTTTGAGTTTTCAAAGTATCACAGAAATTCCCTCGTGCTCTCTAAACAACTTTCTTGTGAGGTACTGAAAAATTACTGCCCTTAATTTGTAGCTGTAGAAACGTGGTTAAGTAACTGCACAAGACCACAAAGTGAATCACTAGAGAAACCAAGGGATCATATCCAGAGTCCTTGATTCTATCACTAGATTCTATCCACAGAAATCAAGGGTTAAAGTCACTTTTAACCACATCAAGTTGAAAAGTAGCAGCTGCTTAATGTTACAGAATTCAGGACAAGCATTACTTATCAGATCATTTTCAAACCTGGTATTTAAGTGAAGATCAAAAGACCACTTGATATGGAGAGGACTGCTCAGGAACCAAACAGTGCTTGCTAGTGAACATCTGTGATTGCCAACCAGATGCTGAACACTCAATAGAGTATAAAAAACCTCAACACATTAGGTTGGGTTTACAATTAAAATGGAACAGACAGCAATAGTGTAAGAACATTAAAATTTGGGAGGAATTGGTCAAAGTGGGACAGTACTCACAGCCAGTATCAATCAGGATGCAAACAAGCTCTGTTTAAATGTCCATGCTCTTCCTTTGTGCTGCATCTCCTGTTTGGTCTTGACCCATCAGTAGCTGTGCTAATACAGGGTTTTCTTGACAGCTGTTCAAGGTAAGAAAATCACAACAAACCTCATTTTTACTGTGGAGTATCTTGAAAACTTACTTGCAAAAGGCCTGTGAACTACCATTTGGGGTAGCTGGTCCTAATACAAGAATGAACTTGTTTTAGAAATCTTGAGCTGACTGTATTTTACTCAGTTATTAATTAGCCATGCTGGCAATGGGCTTTGCTCAACCTTTTGTTATCAATTTTGTGATTTTGTGATCAATCATTAATCAAGCACAACTTCCAAAGATGATAGGCAGAAGAGAATTAAGAAAGGCTGAAATAGGAAGCTAGATGCTAAGAGTGACAAGGAGAAATGACAGCCAAGAATGATGAGACAGCTAAGACTGCTTGTCTAGGCTTTGTGAGAAACGAATAATCATTATTCCAGGAAACATTTAAAAAACATCAGACCTAAAGATCCATTTACCTTTTCTGTCTCATTTCTTCATGACTTTCCTTGGTATCGCCTTTTGTGACTATTCCTACTTCTCTCCTTGTTCTTCCTGATTCTTCCTCGGCATTATCAGCATCTTTAACAGATTTCCTCAACTACTTCTTTCAGTATTTCTGAGGATGAAGCTTGGAATTTGTGGCTTATCTACTTTCCATAAGGCAGATACTGACAGCACTGCATCCACTGCATGTATGAACATCAGACGGCATCGCTCTTCTTCTTTGCTATGCTGTGTATGTGCAAGGCATTGGATTGTACCAGTGTCACATCACAAAACAGTGACAACCAAAATATAAAAACCACAGACTGCAAAACCATTTGGTTCGTATCTTAGAGCTGTTGCTTATTGTCACCCAAGAGTGCTTATTGGTATGCTTCTAGCTCTTCCAGATCTTCTCACAGGAGGAGAAATCCACATCCATGTAACTGTATGAGGCAGTGAGACCCCTTGGGATCTAACAGTTGTCACACTATGAGGCCGCTGGCCTCGTTATACCATTTATCCTGCATTTTGCAGAGCCATGAAGCAACACATCATAGATATGCAACCTGCCAAATAAAAGCCATGCTGAAAACTTAATGCACACTGCCAAATTTTAATTGAACTTAGCAAAGCCCCAGCTTCTGCAGGATTCTCATGTGGCAAAGCAGGAATGTACTTTGATTACATACTTGAATATACATTTATTGAATTTGCACTGTGGAATCTGCATCTTCGCTATCCTTCAGTTTACGTTAGGGAAGTGCACAAATGCATGTGAAGATCAGGTTAACAGCTGGTGTTCACACGTCTGTGAATAATCCAGGGCTCACTCTGGGACTGTACAATAAATGCGTGACCTTGATATTGGGTGTTTTTTCCCCACTTTAACAGGATAACAGCTAATAGATATTGACAAAGCTCAGGAGCCATCCAAGTACAGTGAGCAGGCCTTCCGCAGCCTCCACTTACCATTGCACAAACAGGTTGCACAAGCAGGTGGCCAAATTTGGGAACAGTGGATTAGCAGCATTAATCCCTTTTAATTAAAGCTCAAGATCTGAGATGATGATTACCCAGCAAGCGTGTAGACAGCGTTGTGTGAGCTTGCATAGGCACACTTCTCACTGGGGGTTTGCACACCAACTACTGACAGATGCTACAAGGCATTACTGATTAACGGTTCGGCAGTTAAAAATAAAACGAGCTGCAATCTTCAAACTTTTCCAGTCACAGCTCTTACAGGACAGACAGACGGGACCACCCGCTGACACCACACTGCCTCAACTCCTCTTGACCGGTTCTGACAGGAAAACGCCGACGCCTGACGGCAGCGGTGCCCCGCTGACTTCCGCGGGCTCCCGTTCCCTAGGGGAGGCTGTAACAGCCGGAGGAGGGGCTGTAGGGCCCGGCAGAACCCGCTCTCAAGAGAAGCGGAGGCTCCCCCCCAACGCCTCCCTCACACGGCGACAGCGCCCCACGACCGAGCCCCGCCTCGGCCTTGGCCCCGCCCTCCCACACGCGCGTCACCTTCCGCCACGAGAGGGCGAGGGGAGCGATTCCCTCCGCAGCGCCCCGGAAGCGCTGCAGGCTCCACCCCCTCGCCTCGCATGTTTGGCCCGAGCCCTGCACCCGCCCCGCAGATTGGCTGTCGGCAGCGTCGCTCTTAGAGTGTCTGCTCGCTGATTGGCTGCGGCAGCGCGGAGGCCTGGAGGGGCGGGCTGTGGCAGTCTGTGGGAAGGAAGGTGCAATGGCGGCGGTCGCACAGTGCGTGCGGGGCGCGTTGCGCCCGCGGTATCCGCTGCTGAGCTTCGCCCTGAGGTGAGGGTCGCGCCTTGCCGCCTGGCCTGGATCTGGTGTGGCGGGATAGGTCGGGTCCGGGTCCGCACTCACCGCCTTGCTGTCGCCGAGCCAGGCCAAGAGCGGGGCCCAGCTCTGGGGTGCTTCACCCCCGTGTGACCGGTCCTCTGGCTGTGCGATGGGGAGGCCCTTCCAATAGCCGGGACAGCCGTGCGGGTCCCATCTCCCTTACCGTCCGCCGGGAGAGTGTCCCAGCCAAGCATTGCGGGGCCCGAGTGGCCGGGCCGTGGGCCTGAAGGCCTCCGGGCCTGAAGTGTTGGTGCGGCGTGCGTGGCGCCAGGCCTGTTGGGATTGTAGCACTGAGCCTCGCCCGTGAACCAGTTTGCTCCTCTGCTTCAGCCTCACAGACATAAAGAAGGGATAAAAACTCATCTTCATGGAGACCGGGCTGCTATTGGCATGGTATTTGCGATACAGCAGTGAGATACTGCAGGGAGTCAGAGGCACTTTTCCGTTGCTCTGTAGCATCTGTAGCTCTGTAGGCGCAAACCGAAGTTCTTGTCGGTGTTTTGTGGGAGGCTGTTGCGGGTGATTGCATCATGTGAACTGGCTTTGTGTCCTGATAAAGCACCGTGCTGAAAACGAGCACGTGCTGCTGCTTTATAACTGAATATCGTGGGCACTTACAAGCTGCCGTCCAGCGGTTCCTATATTGCAGCAAAGTTATTTCTTGTAGCAGTTTAGATGGCGTGAGTTCAGTTACTTCTCGTGAGAAGTTCTGTAAGTAGATTTCACATAGCTAGAATTGTTGCATTAATTTGTGTTTTAATGTGAGGATTTTGTAGATATTGACATGTCAAATAAAATGTCAAGTATGTCCAGAAGATGCAAATATGTTACAAAGTAAGCAACTGATTAATACTGTCCACGTTTTTGCCTTAGGTCTTCTCCACGACTGCTTTGTGCAGCAACACAACAGAAAAATACTGGCCAGAACTTGGAAGAGGACCAGAGTCAGAGCCAAAATGAACACAAGGTTGAACCTAGCTCTGCTGAAAAGATGTTAACTGAAGAAAAGGCCAAGCTGGAAGAACAACTGAAAGAAGTTACCGTAAGTGTCTTGTGGTTATTGGGTTGCACACCACATACCTACGGCTGTTCATTATGGTTTCTTGGTGCCCAGTCTGGATGCAGTTGTGTGACTGCTGTGTAGTTGTTAAGTAAAAACCTGCACTTTGATAATTGCTTAAAGCTTCAAAGTAGATGTACAATAAGAGATGCATCCCTGGTACAAGACTTAAGATTTTTTGGTAACTTATTTCCAGTTTCTGGATGCAGTTGGACCTTTTCCAGCCTGAATAACTGATACTGAGTTTTGGTGACTTCAGTTCACTTGGGTTTTGCTCAGTGGATAAGCAGTTTTTGGAAGCTTATGGAAGGGTTTGAGGTTGTCTTTGATGTGTGCATCTGTGTGCACTAGGAGTAGGCTTTCTGAAAAGAGCTGCTGGCTTTTCAAAGGTCAGGGTTAATGGTGCTTAGCTTTTACTTAATAGTCTACTTATTACATTCTCTGGTAGTTTCAAACCTTCTCTGCCGGACAGCCCTTCAAACATAAGGCTGAAGCATCACATTCCCTTTGGCTGGCCCATCTTGCATTCTCTCTTTAGCAGAGGGTGAAGGATTAAATAAAAGTATTGCTTTTCTGGATGAGGGCTTTATATAAAATGTATTTCTAGAGCGTTTGAGGCTTTGAGAGGTAGCCCAGAACCTTCTGTAGAAGGAGCACCTATGGATCATAAGTGGATTGTGTTTTCTTCCTGTTGCCCTTCCCAAAGCACTGAAGGACAAAGCAGAGATGTCATTTAACATCTCTGCTGACACCTTTTGCTGTTCACTGCCTAATGTGGCTCTTCAGTCCAACTCATTGACTATTCTTACTCTATTGTGGGATTCTTCACAAGCGTATTCAGAGTGGAAGCCCGTGTGGAGTTCTGGGTGAGGTTGTAAAGCACTCAGTCTGAAGTGCCTAGATTTAATGAATTCCATTCTTAGTACATCTGCTGCTAGAGGAGTTAGGCTTCACAGTCTGTAAACTCTGAAGAAACCTGCTGTATTGAATCTTGTTTGCCACTGTGTCAAAATCCTTCAGGACTGATGAATGCTTCCTATGAACACACATCACCAAAAGCAAAAACCTTTGATTAATAAAACTTGATGTGTCTGTAGGGTTAAAAATGTCTTCCAGCTAATCTGTTGACAAATACTGAGAGTCTGGATATCCGTTTTACTTTCTTTCCCTCACTTGTGTCTGCATTAAGGTGAAGCAAACAGCTGTGTTGGTAGATGCTGTGCTAATTGGTATGTTGTCTTTAGATTGGTCTTCAGATGCTGGGCCATCTAAACTGTAACTGTTTAAAATGCTGGTTTATACTGAATATGCTGTTCTGAATTATTGTCAATTATCCAACAACCAGGAATGAAATCTCTCCTATTACTGTTCTTTTTTCTTTAGGACAAGTACAAGCGTGCCTTGGCAGATGCAGAAAACATAAGGCAAAGAAGCCAGAAACTGGTAGAAGAGGCAAAGTTATACGGTCAGTGGAGGCTCATTTTGTCTATGCTTGTAAGACCCAGGAAATGCTCAGCCTGGAAAACTGAGCTGACTGGCCCAGAGCTGAGACACATTGTACTTCCCAAGTCACTCTGACTCTTTGCTGGAAAAATGTATTTGAGGCAGAGAAGTTTTAACAGTTCCTCACGTTGCATCAGAATTACAATCATCTCAGTAGACAAGGGCAAGGCTCACACAGCTGACTTGAAATCTTCTGTCACCTTGGTACCTGATTTCCTACAACATATCCTGCACTGGTAGATTTTTCAGTAAGGTTTGCAGCGTCAAGTTTGCCATTTTCACACACTTTGGTCTCAGAACTGACTGCAGAATACTGACCTGGAATAGCAGCTTTCCTTCTGGTTTAGGGGTTTTTTGGGGATTGATTGGTTTGGGGGCGGATTGGTTTTGTTTGGGGTTTGGTGTTTGGTGTTTTTTTAGCCTTTTATATCTGGATAACTTTTGTGTTCTGCTGAAGGCTGTGGCTTTCAAACAAAAGTAATACATTTAGATGGGTGGTTTCTTTTCAGTGGTAGGAATATAAAATCACTGGCTACAAGGAATGCTAGATACACATCTTTCTTCAAACCTATCAAAATGCAGAGCAGTTTGTCACTGGTTCACCTCTACATAGAAATGTGTTATTTTACTGAACACTTTCGGTTTTTCATGATTTCTAGAAATGGTTTGCCTTAAGTGAGATGAGGCCAGATTCTGTTATTGTGAGCCAGAGAACAGCTTCAGGACAGGGGCTATCTTTACCTTGGCAATTGCTCACTGTTTTCAAGGCACAGCTTCTGACTCTACAAGTGGTTTGTAGTGGCGGGGAGAGGTGTGAGTTCTCACAGTGAATCACAGGAGTCCCTGTTCCTCTCTCAGACTCCTCATCAGTATGACTACATGCTTTTTCTTCTGGAAATATTTTTGGCACATCAGGTTAAAGAGTAGGAACAGGGCAATATAATGCTTTGCACTTGAATCCCAGGATGAGGGAGACATGAAGAAATGCTGTTAATCTGAAGGGTTTGGTAATTTTGGTTAGAATTTTAACTATTAATGTCATGTCATCAGCGTAGCTTTAGCTCTTTTAAATTGAAATAATTTTTTTCCATAGAACTAGAGGAGGTGATGTGGATTTCAAGGTACCTGTAATAATTCTGTGTCATCCAGTAAAATTGGAAAGGACATTTTACCCCAGATGTTTATGTATCTTGTTAAAAAGTCTAAAATAGTACAGATTATTTGTGGGGTTTGGTTCTGTGGTTGTTGGGCTGCCTGTTTTCCTCGGTGGACTAATTCCATTCCCTTCTGTTTCTTCTCAGGGATTCAGAGCTTCTGTAAGGACTTACTAGAAGTTGCAGACATTTTGGAGAAAGCAACTGAAAGTGTTCCGAAAGAAGAAATTAAGGATGAAAATCCTCACTTGAAGAGCTTATATGAAGGTCTTGTTATGACAGAAGTACAGATTCAGAAAGTGTTTAAAAAGCATGGCCTGCTCAGACTGAATCCTGTCGGAGCCAAGTTCGATCCCTATGAACACGAAGCGTTGTTCCATGCTCCCATGGAAGGGAAGGAGCCTGGCACTATTGCATTAGTATCCAAGATCGGCTATAAGCTGCACGGGCGTACACTGCGGCCCGCCTTGGTGGGTGTTGTGAAAGACGCTTAGCTGCTTAACCTGAGAAGGTAAAATGCCATACAACTATTAAACAGCTGGATGGTTTTCCTCTCACACTGTGCTTTCCTCATTCCTCTGCCCCCTGAGAGGTCTAAATGAATTGCTTGAGGTCTCCCAGTGAAAATGAAGCAACCAGTGAAATTCTCCTGCTTAGTGGCCTTCAACATAACTGTTCCATCAGCTCTCTTCTCAAGTGTGAAATACAAGAGCCATTAAGCTTCCTAACGCTGTAGATAACGTTTTTTACAACTATTGCTCCCAAAGGTCCATTAAATTGAAAGGATCAAAATGCTCACAAGAATTCTGCATCACGTTTATCATTGTGTGTAGATTGAAAATACAAGTCGTGGCTCAAACACTTCCTTTTGGTTTGTAGAATCCAACACTGCAGAAATGGGTGAAGTACAAATAACCCATTTTTTGCAAGCACCCATCGCCTGTTATGTGATAAATGCCCTTTTTTAAATGTCTATTCAGAAATAATCTGGGCAGCTGAAATGAAAACCTTGGTGAGTTCTGATCTGTAAATAAAAGGCAATGGAGAGTTGACATCTTCTGTAAGTGTTCAACCCTTTTTGTCCTGTGCTAATATTGACTCAAGAAAACCATCTAATACTTGTATGGCATTGAAGAACCAATAGAATATATCCTATCTGGATTTTTAATTTAATATTGTATAAATTGGTTTAAACAATTTTGATAGTCGTGTAACTTTCAAGCTTTACACTCAGTTTGGTATGCAAACTGTAGGTACATCCCTGCTGAAAGCCAGAATGCCCACATAAGTGAGTACTCGAGAGTTTGGTACATACTGACTTTTAGAATTACATAAATAATTGCATGTAAGTGGCTCAGATGGAAATGTGAACTTTGTTTCATCTGCATTTCTTGCATTTACTCAGCTTGGATCTTAAGTTGGAACAGAACTTTTCCCATGCACAGCTCTTGCCCTGTCTAAACTGCATGTGCTGCTCCCAGTCCTGCAGAGTCAGGCTAAAATACAGTCCATGGTTAACTCCATGCTTTGCCCTACGTTTGTCTGGTCACCTGGATAGGATTGGATTGAAACTGGCAAATCACACAACTGGCAAAGCCTCTTGTATCCTCAAAGCCCACACATCTAACACAGGACAGAAACCTCAAACTTACTTATGCGTGTTATAAGGACCTGGTAAATAGTAAGTACTGCTGAATTCTCACCCTTGTTTCTGGTCGACTTCCATCAAGGACCTTCTGCCTTAAGGTCAAATACTGATTATTTTTTTGGGTTCAGAGGCAGGGTTGGCAATAGTTTACTGAACAGAAGATCTGCTCATGGGGAGAGTTGATGACTTCTTCAAGACTTACTTCCCTGTGCTGGTTTGCCTTCTGGGAATCAGTTAACTAGGCACAATCTAAGTGCCCACTACTGCTGAAGGTACAGTCATGTTTAAGGATGCATTCATTCACAACCTTAAGAAAGAAAATCAGCGTTTTGACTGGGCAGGGGAGGGAGAATGATTTTTGGTATATGAAGAATTGGAAAGTAACTTCCATCTGGGTTATAGCATACTGGAGCTGTGTTCTGCCCCCTCCCAACCCCTCTGGATCTAAACTAAATCTGATAACTTCATTAGTATGGGAGCTTTGCAGCAGGGCAATTAAAACAAAGGGGCAGCTTCTTCCCTAGCAGATTAAGCTTTTGTTAATGGGCTTCCTAGCCCTTCACACAAACTGTCTCTTTTGGGCTGTATACTTCATTCAGGGTCTTCTTAAAAGTTACTTTTAAGTATTCAGTGCAAGACTCAAAGTAGAGGTTTTAAATCTCATTTAAGTGGTTCTCTTCCCTTGGCCTGCCTGCTCAGAGAAGCTTTCAGCATGGAGAGCTTCAGTCTTTACTGAGAGCTCAAACCACAGGTGCGCTTTGCCATACAACAGTAAGAAGCACTGAAGAAATCAAAGAACAGAGGGAGGTTATTCTGTAATTTAAGCATAAGAGCAGGCAACAAAGCTACCACCAGTACCTCTGCCTTAGCTTTCATAAACACCACTTCTCCACCCACCATCAGGTGGCTAAACTGCATCTCCATTTGTTATTGCAAAGACTTAAGCCACGTTCCTCATAACATGAGCTACATTGCCATTAAATCAATAATGGAAAGAAACTTTTAATACAAGTTTATTTACCAATATACAATGCAAAAACCTAATAAAATGCTGAGTGTGCACAACATCAGTTAGGTTTTACATGACTTCAGCACAGGCATTTGTGTGTCTGGCACAGCTACACCAGTACACCATTCAAATGAGTGCAACATTCCCTTTAAGGAAGCAGCTGACGAGCTGAACATGCTCACCAGGTACCTTCCTTCACAGTATTTAATGTGTTATCACTTAAGAGCAACTGGGGCACATGCAAAAACATTTTGCAAGAAGAGAGTAAACTGAAAGGCCAAAAAAGTCCATTACGGTTGCAAAGAAATTGGTGCAGCCACCGCACAAGAGAATAATGGCAGAGTGCTTAGTTTGTGTGACTGACAAGGCAGTTTGTGGTCAAAGACTCGTGCAAACCTACTGATGCTGTTCTTAATGCTTGCTGGGACAGCAACAAAACATAAGGCAGGAGGGTCTGTATTCAAATATTGTCTAACAAACCCTTCTGCACTGGCAGAGTGGAGAATAATGCTCCCTTGTTACCTGGTAAGCAAATATTGCTGTAAAACATCACTGTGACTGGACTGATCAAAGTAAACATACAGCATTAAAACAGACATATTGCTGCCTCTATCAGTAGCAGAAGACCAGTATTTTGAACAGCTTATGGAGTGTCAGTTTTTCATAGGCTTACATCAATGCTGTTAGAACAGATGCTATCATTAGTAATATCTTCCATTAGAAAAGTCAAGAGCATAAGCATATAAAACACCTTTTCATTAGCAACATGAAGGCTAGGTTACTTGTACAGTACAGGAAGCACTTTCCAGATCAACACAAGATATAGGTTGAGCTCTTTGCCATGTATTTGCTCAGCCCCTTCACCACAGAAGAGAAGCCGTGTAGCTCTAGTTAACTGCAGGACCAACATAACTGCATCTCAGCTTAACAAACAAACAAAAAACCAGCAGCTCATAACAAAGGAATGCTTTGACTAAATCAGTTCCATGTGAAAACATGGAACAGTAGCATCCTCTAGTGCAAGTCACCTTAAAAATTCAAAGCATAGCTGACAATGAGACATTGCTTCTAGGGAAGCCCTTCCCAAGGGACTAGTATTTGCTAAAGCAAACATTCACCACCTTGAATTTGCTTGCAAGTATAAAATAAATATTGATATCCATATTTCATACATTAAAAATACTTTATTTTTACATTCATTTTGATGTTCAATAAGTTACGTCTAGCACCAAAGAAACATTTTGGAGGGGCTGAGGCATTAAGAAACTACAAAGTGTAACTGCAGAGTTCAACATTTAAATGACTCATTGGTGCCTAGATATTGTCTTAAGTTACCGTTCAGATGGGCTTTAGACTATTGCTTCAGTTCCACTTGGATGTGCCACAACAGCGTAGAAATATAAAAATCACAGATCTGAGGAAAATAATAATAGTAACAAAAAAAATAGCTTTTAAACTCCCAGCTACATGCAGAGTTGAGGCTCCAGAACATGAGCAGTAACAGGATGTTATAGTAGTTCAGGAACAAGGTACAGGAAGAACCAGATTGCATAACTAGAATGCCAGAAAGGCTGAGCATCCCTTCTGCAGGGGTAGGGCAGAAAATAACCAAGGGTTTATACCTTACGAACCTGTGTGCTTTTTGTACAGTGTACAGGGTTGAAATGGTTCTTAGAGCTACTCAGCACATTGCAGTTAGTTCCACTGCTGCCAAGGAGAGACAGTTTTGTCTTAAGTGTTCCACAACGAGCCACTTACAGGTAAGCCAAACAAAGTATTACATCCAAGAGGACATGGCCATTACCTTTCTGAAGGGACAGAACATCAAACATCACAAGCTCAAAAGAAAAAGGCACTAGAGTTTTGGTTTTCTCTTCCTTAGAAATGCTGGCTTTGTAATTGTACCCCTTTTATTCTAACCTCACTGGTAACACTATTTTGGTAATGCTGGATATGATAACTAAACCCCAGTTCCCATCAATACACCTATGCCACGTTGCAGGATTAATACTGGTTCAAGATTTTGTGGTATCCTCACTGACTACAGCCCAAAGCATCAAAGCAAGGTGACCTTTCCAGTCCTTGCACCTGTTCTGGAGCCAGTCAAATTCCATGTTTTGGCACTCCTGCACTCCAGAAGACCTGCCCAACTGGCCTCTGGTCCCAGCTTCCTCCTCTGGACACAACCAGTGGAGAGGCTTAGGCAAGTAGCACTGCGCTGTCTTCCACATGGCAACCACTGTATTTATTCATTTGGTTAAATACCAGCACGGGAATTTAATGTTGAAACAAGCATAAAAGCCCTTTTCTAGTCCTTCTTCAACATCTTCCCCTAATTTAGTAGATCCTACTAACCCAGTGCTGTGGATCTGGTATGTCTTTCACTTGCGGTGTTATACCTGGCCAGAGGGTGCTTGTTGTGAGCACCCAGTTCAGACTGTAGTGTTAGAGTTGGGAAAAGTCACCTCTCCAGGTTCACTGTTCTCACCACAGTGGGCTGCACTCACAGTTCTCCTGCCATGTCAGTAACTTCAACATGTTTGGCCTGGTATGTTTCAAGGTACATGCAATCAGAACCCTGTAATGACTTGATTACAGCTCTGCACTTCAGGAGCACATGAGCTGTGTGCTTTGACCTCATCTGTATCACTTCTCTCTTTTGGCTTTAAAGCCCAGTCTCAGTGATAACTCTTGAGTCTCACTCCCTTTCCCTATCCCTCCCAAAGTCCAGGAGAAGGCAGCAGCTACACCTCCCCAGCCCATACAAGCTCAGAAGTTTTATAGACACCAAATGAGGAGAAGGCTCCTCCAACAAGAGGGAATGGTGATTTTGTTGCCTGAGGCTCCCAACTACTGACAAACAACTCGCTCCCCATCTTTCCAAAACCTATTTCTGGCCCAAATCAGCCACTTGGCAGTGGTGCTGACCCCACACAGCACCACAGCTGCCCTGTACTGCAACTTTGCTATTCATTAGTTAACATCAAGGCTTCAGTGGGGTCCGTTTCATCCAAACCTCAATGTCAAAGCTCCGTCTGGATCAGTTGGGTACAAAGGCAGCTCTTCAAGAACCCTTTCCACAGCACAAGTACCTGAAGGCACCTCACCTACTGCATTTTTTCCCTTCCACTCACTGCCATTGCTCATCCCTGCTGCATTCCTGACAGAAACTCACCCACTGTCCCAGCCTTGGCTGTAGTTACTAATGAGAATGTTCTGAAAGCTTAGCACTGGTCATCTGGAAGCACATTTGGAAGCTTCACTTTCCTGCCAGCATTACACCAAAAAAGACAACAAAGGGAGAAGAAAGTTTCCAGCAAATGAAACTATCTCCCACCTTCAAACAAAAGCAAGGATTACACCGATACTCATTGATCCAGTAGTAAGGAGTAAGTAACTACTCTGAGACTACTGGAATTGAGTAAGTTCACGTGGAAGAAATCTGACTGAATAATGTACCAAAAGCAGTGAAATCCAATGCAAAAGTTTCACAATTAAGTACTTCCATGATCCAAAGCAAAGGTCCATTTGAACCATGGATCACGAATACTGAGGGGCTTTATGCATTCGCATTTTGTTGCTGTTAATTTTAAGTGACATGATTTCTGTATCTTTGGGGAGGGAAGGAAAAACTAATGGAGTCGTTGAGGCTCTAATGTGCCTCTGCTGTGTACTTTCAGATCAGCTGAGTTTCAGGAAGCATCCCTGGATATCCAACCACTTTCTGTTAGAAAGTTTAAAATCCTTTTCTTCAGTACCTTGTCTAAGTAACTGGGAAGGCGACTCTTAGAAGGAATTCCTTGTCTTTTTTGGAGATGGTCTTTAATGATTATAGTTTTTACAGTCACGTAACGTGCAGGACTCAGATTTAGAGAGCTGCAGAGCACCTTTTCCCTGTCCGATAAGAGTTCAAAGCCAGGCAGGTTTTCAATGGCAGCAAATTCACCCTCTTTTCCATCTTCCTTCCCTCTCTTGGAGCTCGCTATGTTTTTGTTCTCCTTCCTCTTTTCCCGTTTATGCCTGGCTGCCTCGTATTCTGCCGACTCTTCCATTTTGGTGATCCCATTCCGACGGTACCGCTGCAGCTCCCGAATCTTTGCTCGGAGTATCCTCTCCTTGTGCATGTTCTCAAAGAAGTCTTCAAACTCCTTACAAGACATGAACTGGTACAGAGGCCTCAGTTTCAGCCTCAGCTCCTTCTCCTCTTTAGTGATCTTTCGTTTGGGAGCTTTCTCCTTGTCCTTTTTATCCTTCCCCAGAAAGGCGGGTACCAAGTTATAGTCTCGTGCAATGTTCTTCCGCCGCTGCCTCTCCTTGAGCTTCCTCACATACATGTCTACATGAGCTCTTTTCAACTCTATCTCCACATCATCATCGTCGTAGTTCACCGAGAGGCCGCTGATGAGGGTCTCCGCATCCTGATCGTATTCGATCTCGTAGTCATCCCGCAGCGGCATGTACCCGAGCTGCTGCTGCTCTGCCACTGTTATGTCCAGTGGTGGCAGCGGTGTGGTCAGGCTGGGGGACAGCGGCCCGCCGCTGGGACACGTGTGATCCGTCACTCGGTTCGGGATTGTGTCAGGGATGCAGGCTTTACCCAGGTTCCCGTGAATGTACATGCTTACATAGTGCTCCATCACCTCCTGGGGCGTTCGGGATGCTCCCACATGAGCAGCCATGTCCTCCTAAATGGAACATAAGGAGGAGTGATCAAATGATTCCCGTTACATCTCCAGCATAACATACACTCAGGGAAGAGCCTGACTTCCTCCCTGCTTCTCAAAAGCCAACTCATAGTACTTAAGCTTCTCTAGCAATGCTAAGATTAGCTACATTTCCATCAGATCTGCGTTATTAGGTCCAGACAAGTATTTACAAGCGCACAGGTGCACACTGGCCATGAAAGCAACACCAGAAGCAGCATCAAGGCAAACTGCATCAGATCCTCACGCTACAGAACACCACCAAGATACTGGAGCCATATGGTGATTCCGGAGCATCCATCACTCTCTAGGAAATCCAGCTCACCACCGCTAGGAAGCTTTCTGAGTCCCAAGCCAGCACCGATATCACTGCATCATTTGGATTTTACTCATTTATATCACACTGCTGAGGTGCTTTTAGAGCAATAAAGAAACACAATACTTACAGTAAGAAAGATAACATTTACTCTTTTCTAGTTGGTTAAGAACTAAACCAAGGTACAAGAATCATAAACTTTAAGATTTTGAAGAAGTCTTTATGTTTAATAAAACAAACTCTGATCAAGTAACAATTATTGAATCAGATTATGATGCTTTTTACTGCTATTCTTTAAAAATGAACATGTACTGACATGGAAAGCAAGCAGCAGGCTCACAGCTGGGACACAAAATGGTTAATGTTGGAAAGGACCTGAAGATCATACAGTTCCAACCCCCCTGCCGCGGACAGGGACACCTCACAGTAAACTATGTCACCCAAGGCTCTGTCCAGCCTGGCCTTGAACACCGCCAGGGACGGAGCATTCACAGCTTCCCTGGGCAACCCATTCCAGTGCCTCACCACCCTTACAGTAAAGAACACACTGAAGGAACAGACCGAACACTGAGAAGCATCAGGTGTAAGCTCTGTCACACACGAGATCGGGGAGGGCCAGTGCCGGAGCTCACGGCACCACAGGTCCACGAAGGCGAGCGGTCCCGAGGCGCTCCTTCCCCCGGCGGGTCTCACACGGGGGCCGAGCACCCACCCCAGCCCGGAGGCACCCCCTCACCGGGGCTCAGCGCGCACCCCCCGCAGCCTCCCCTCAGGCCCGCCGGGGGCTGCTCGCTCGCTGTCAGGCGGACGGGACCCCGCGGCCCTTGGCCCTTACCCAGTTGCCGAAGCCGAACTGCTCGATGGCGTCCAGCAGCAGCTGCTCCTCCCGGCTGCTCCAGCCGCCCTCGGCCTCGGCGCCCCAGAGGGTGAAGCGGCCGCCGTCGACGAGCTGGTAGCCGTGCCATCGGCGGTGAGGGCCGATCTCGGCGCCCGCCGAGAAGCAGTCGGGGCAGAGCTCGATGTCGGCGCACTCGGTGCAGCGGAAGCGCAGCGGGCTCACCTCAGCCAGGCAGTACACGCAGTACTTCTTCCCCAGTTCCGCCATCTTACCCCGCCCGCCGACAGGCCGCGCGCACGCGCCGGCACGCCCCCCGACCGGCCTTGCCAATGGCAGCGCGCCCGGCGGGCGGAGCCATGCGACGGGCAGCCAATGGGAGAGGAGGGCTCGGCCTTCCTCTCGGCCTCCCTGCCAATGGGGACAGCGCTCCTGGGCGCGGGGGGTATTAAAAAGGGATGAACGGCTATGATTGGCAGACAGGGACCCGGCTTCCTTTCCCGCGACCAATCGAAAGGCGACCCAGAGCAACCCGGCCGCTGACTGGTTAGGCCCGGCTGGGGGAAGGGGGCGAGGCCGAGCCGGCGCCATGGGGAGAGGGGAGGGGCCGCGGCGGCAGCGGAGCCGAGTCCCGTTGCCCGGGCAACGGGGGAAGCTGGAGCAGCGCGGCTGAGGAGGCGGTGGCGGCGGCGGCAGCGGGGCCAGCCTGGGCCTCTCAGCGGAGTCAGGGGGGAGCCGGAGCCCTGCGCCGCCGGGGCTGGAGGAGGTGGAGCAGGAAGGGGCCTTAGAGCCATCACAGCTGCAGGCCGCGGCGGGACCGCCGGGGCCCTCGGGCTGTGCCGAGGAGCGAAGGCGAAGAGGCTGAAGAGGCCCCGGTCTCTCCGGTGCCAGCTGCCGGCAGCGCCAGCCCGCAGCTACTGGAGGTCGGGCTGCCATGGACGGAGCCGGGCGAAGCGCCGCCTTGTGTCCAGCGGCTGCAGGAGGAGCTGCAGGCCCGGGCCTAGGTCTAGTGTTCTGCTGCCTAACATCTACCCCTTGCGAATTAACCACAAGAGTTACAATGGCTTTCTCCCCTTGAAGCTTTATTATTGTCATGACGTATTTTGAACAGGAGCACTGCTTTGCTGGTAAGGCCAACATTAAAGAAATAAAAGTAAAACTAGTCTATTTCTACTCTTCTAGGCCCACAAAGAAAACATCAAGCTGAAGCATGAAATCCAAAACCTTGAAACTGATTCAGGGTTAACATTGTGCCTGCTCGCTTAAGTAGTCCCTGTGCTTGGTGAAGCAGAACCGTAGGAGTCAAAGTTGCTAAAACGGTGAAGCAGAATTGTAAGAGTTACAGCTGCTAGGCAGAATTGTAGTAGATAAGATTCATAACATTTAAGACATTCTTCAAATAGTATCTTTAGAAAGAAAAGGAACAAAAGGTAGCCAAAATAACAAAATTTGCAAACTTGACAAGTTTCTGCTTTAAGATACATAAAACTGGCTTGTACTGAACCTGAGGTTTGGATAGGAGCCGAAACCCTACCGAGTCTGCGTGAAAGCAAGAGGTTACTCACGGTGATGAAGAGGAACTACAGGCCTTCATCCTCACGACCCCCTAACGACCACCACCAGGAGGCACTGCGCAGGCACATCAATGGGACAAACGCCAGAAAGCTAATTATAATACAAGATGGGAATAGGTTTTGCATATGTATTAGATGTGAAGCAATCTCATGTTTAGGTAATCATTATATGTAATATAAACGAACTGAGTGGCAAAGGAAGGTGTGCATGCTTTTGGAGGAGCAATCCCCATGCGCCTCAGCGCTGAATAAAGCATACCTACTTTACAACTCTAACGAGTTGTGGAGTCTATCTGCGTATCAAAACCACCTTGAAAGCTGTGGAACAACTGGCAGGGAGGGTCAACGCTTTATGGACCTTGAGTACATAACAAAAAGAGAATCAGAAACTCAGGGAAAAGACTGGCAACCTCAGTAAGCAAACCCTGAGGAAGGTACCAAACACAGTCCATGTTCTCAGCCACTTCGGGGGAAAAGAAGTAGTGTGTGGAAGCTGAAAATCAAGGCAGAAAGACCAAACTAACGGACATTAAAACCACTTCGTCTCAGCACGGAGACATTCTGACCAAAATGGAACAGGACAGAGATGCTGTGGAGAAACAATTTAAACTGCAGGAGGAATGTGGGTTGCCTGGAGATGAGATACTGGTTCAGGACTGAGGAAAAGGTGGCTGTGGTTGACCTGCTGAGTTGGCAATTGGAAACAATGGAACATCTCCGTGCTGGGCTGCTCCCTACTTACAGGGGAATTTGGCAAACAAAACCAAGTAAGAGAATTCCTCTTTTGTTGCTGACTAAAGAGAAGCAAGTGTGGAGAAGAAATATGGGAGTTTTCCTTAATTCTGACGCTGCTTTTGGTAAGTTTTAGGGAATACATTGCACAGGTAATCCTGAAAAAACCTTTTCTAAGTGACATGTCAGTATTATGCATTCAGTGATTACAGTAGCTACTCATTTTGAATTAAATGATACACGTCCCAGTCTTAAAGCAACAAAACCAGCCTCATTCAAAATTCCAGACTTTTAAAAAACCATCTTAGCATTCAGTCCTTTAAGGCTATGGCAACACTGTGTAAATAGAGCACTCGCCATAACACTAACTCAAATCCTGATCCTGCTTCCCTCTGTATGGGTTTCGTAAGTTGGTGTTGGCTTCGTCTGCACACTAAATGTACCTTATTCTGGGCTCAGCCTAAGGGGGAGTTTTCACAGATGTGGCTGAGAACTGGAGAGAACCTTGTTGTCAATACCTGGCACAACCTGCACACAGCCAATATTCTACAGAAGCACTAAACTGTTCAGCCATTCTGTAAATACACTTGGCTGCCAAGTTTGCCTTAGGGGCACACAGGAGGAAAGGTTTATTACTTTAAGAGTTGTTTTTGTAGTATAAATACATAAATATATAAATCTTATCACTCAAAGCTACATTATTTTTGGCTTTCAGCTTTTACAGTTTTAGGGGGCACTCAGCCTCTTCCTCCTCATTCATGGTGTGTGAAGAGGCAGAGTTCAGTACACCCATCACTGTGCCAGTCCCCTCTACACTGCTCAACTAGAACTGATAAAAAGAGGCTGAAGAAAAAGGGGAGGGGAGCAACAAACATCTACATGTTTATGCATGCACAGCTCCCAGAGCTTTAGTTACAGGAAGCAGCTTCCCCTTTCCAAATAGTTCTTTAAACTCCAGTTCACCCATGAGAAAGATTGAGACCATTCAAAAAAGAGGAAAAGAAACAAGGAAAAAACTAATAAAAAAGACATAAAGAAACACCAGAATCAGTACCTTTCATTTTAAGCCTTGTCAGCAAAAGTGAGATCTTCTCCTGTTCAGAGTGGCTGTTCGCATAAGTCCAATACCCTCCTGGTATTCCCTGGAACTGCTTTCATAAATACTAAATGTTGATCAGCAGTCATCTCCCCTTCTTAAACATTACTGCCAGCAAAACAACTGTGCTTCTTGTTGCTTTTGACTTAAGACATACAGACCTTCTCTAGTTTCTTCAGCGCTATTAAGCAATACATGTAGCCAGATAAAGCGTGGAGAAGCAGGGAAAGTAAATCTTCGATGCTTTTCATTGCTACACGTTTGACATCTGGAGAAGGCAAGAACTTAACATGCAAATGACGCTGATAGTATATTCCCTGAGTATTTCCAATGAAATAAATACTACAAAACATCTGCTTAAACTTCACACACTGTTCCCAGCACTTCTTTTCTTAGGGCTGAGCTGTGGACTCACTGCTACCCTACTCTTCCAAAGCACACTGGGGATGAAGATCAAGGATTCCTCCATTGTCAGGAACCAGTAAAGACAAATGTCTTTATTTCCTCATATCATCTGTTACCACACAGGAAAGTATTTCACTTCTCTTCAAACAGACTGGAATTAATATTGGAAAAACAGGTAAGGGAAAGTTTTGAACAATTGTATGCAACTCTTCTAATGTATACAACATAAAGCTCTATTGGCATAGAATTGGTAGGGGGTTATATGAAGCAATTCTGATTTTATGTTATAATCCTGCGAATCAAACAGTAAAATCCTTCAGTAAAAGAAGTGAGACACACATTTACAGGAAGAACTGGAGCCATGGCAGCCAAGTCTTTGACTGTGTTCCCTGTGTAGTCCTGTTGCACAGGTACTGCCTCTCCTTTCATCTTTTACTTGGTGCTTTAACCTCTTTGCAGTTAAGTATGCAACAGGAAGCATTTCCAGTTTAATCTCTGAAGTTATGCATATGTAAGTATTAAAAAAAATACTGCCCTGAGCACAAAAATACCTTGTGATTATGAAACCTGCAATAATCCAAGGTTTCTTCCTTTAAAACAAAGAGAAGGTATTGGAGCATTTGAGTTCTGCGCATCTCACAAAGATATATTTACATACTTTTTTATGTTCTATTAGACCTCAGGCTTACTTCATAGAAAGGCATATGACATGGATGAAACCATGGGCACCATGCCGTAAGCACCAAATCTTCTACATGTCACATGTAATTTAACAGGTATTTTAACATAAGAACTTGGAAAGCATCACTAAAAAAAATCCTCCACCTGCAATACTCAAATGTCCCAGCTCCTGATCTGGGACAGAGTCAAACTGCTAAAGCAGCCTCTGAAGAAACAGAAAGGTACTTGAGTTTTTCATGTCTGAATTCCACTGGCCACAGGTAAGATAACTTTACATGACTTTATTTAACAAAACCATATATTTACAGTTGAAAAAAGTTCCAGTTTGACACACATATCTAACTGAAACAAACTTGATTAACTACATAAAACCAATTTAAATATGATGTACAGGAGATGTACCAACAGTTCTCTACATGTCATTCCAGGTTTCAAATAATTCAAAAATAAGCTGTTAGAAGGTACCTTTTTGTAAAAAAGGAAATTCTTTACTCAATGAAGTAATGTCAATGATTGATTGCTGACTGAAGTTGCAAAACGGCTTTATTATAAAGTGCAGGTCGTACACAATTCCAAACCTGGTTGAAGATTTCTGGTTTCTCTGATCTGCTGCATGTACTTGCAGATATTTGCAGACTCCTGATGTATTGCAGCATTTTTATTTTCCCTCAAACCCATGAAGACAAGAAAGTTTGCTTGATGGGGACACTTACTCAATGAAAGCAAATCTCATGCATCTTGTTACAGATACCCTCAAGCACCTGAACAATAAAATTGTCATTTTTTTAATGCAATCCCTGAATTTATTACATAATTCTTCCTTAATAGCTGATGAAAAGATCTGGTAAGCTGCAAGAGACTTGAAAAGCTCAGTGGCAAGTCTATGCCCTCACTGCTCATCTCTGGTTTTATCAAAATTCAAACATTACCTTCAAGTTGCTGAGAAGTTGCAACAAC